AAAAATGCATGAAAATGGTGTTATGTTCCGATGCAATTTTCAAGTTGACATGTGCCTTAGATCTATAGTTCAAATAATGATATAAATGATTATCTTCTCATGTCCTAATGTTGAATAAATGAAATAATGTATCTATCCAGTCAAATTTGATTGATAGTTAATATAATTCCTGACTTTTTTTATCAATTTCTTTGAACCGGAATACTGTTTTCATGCATTTTTCTTTTGAATATTTGATAAAAATGATGGGTTTTGAAACAATTTTTATCTTACATTGCGCCAACGAAAAAAAGACGTCCAGAGTTTTCCTCTTTCAATTATTGAAACGCGCAGGTCACTAGCTCTTGCCATTATGAAATCATTGAACTTACACTCATCCCTTTTAAATTCTAGTACGGCCCTTAGCAGTCATTAATCTATGTATGAGAATTGAAATTAATAACACATCATTTTCAAAAAAGCCTCGTTAAAAGGAAATGAATTTTTTCGTTGTAAAATTAAAACAAATCGATCTCTTTATCCCTAGTTTCAGCTATCGCTTTCTTAATGTATAAAAACTACATAATAAAAGTTAGTTTAGTTTAGTTTTTTTTTTTATAGAAAAGAAGTTTCAAAAACTAATTATTTTATCTGAATCATTCATATAGATAGTTCAGATTTCCAAATTCTGCAATTTTTATATTACAAACAACAAGAATAACACGTGCTTTGTTTTCTATATTAAATCGAGCAACAACATCAGAACGATAATCATGCGCCGATATATCTTCATCAAATGAAATTGTTACATTTCATTCAAGCCAAAATAGTCTTATTGGACAGATTTGTTCGAAATCATCACATGCTTGATCAAAATTATGATTATAAATCGGACTAGTACATATTAAGTGAAATTGTATCAATTTCGGACAGCACATGGATAGAAAAAATTTCCATTTCATTGCATCTAATAAATGATACCACCCCCATATGAATAATTTCTTCAAATTTGGTGCATGTTTTAGTAAATATTCGACATGTTCAAATTTTATATCATCGGATAATTTTATACCCAAATAAATATATTTTGGTAGCAATGGCATATAAATTATCATTGACTAATGTTGTACATTAGATCTATCTTCATGACATAAGTCGTAGTTAATACGAAATGATTTAACATTTTGTATAACAGGAAGTAACTTAATTAAATCATCGAAAGTCAATGTATCTAATAATAAATTTTGAATATTTGGGTGTGGGTGTGAGTGTCGTCTTTTTATTGTTACCTACATCCACATCCTTGTTGCATGTAGTGCAACGCCAGATAACACTCCACAGCTACACCATACACAAACACGCACACGCTAAGAAGGGAATCTTTAAGTGTAGACAGTAAGTAGCAGATAAAAAAACATTCAAGTGGAAGATTCTCGAACAAAATTCAACATTTAAAATTTTTTCTTTGTGCTATATAAGTTATTTTTTCAAAAAGAGGAGAAGTATGGTTACTATTGAAATCCTTCAAACCATTTGATGAATTCTAGCGACAATGTAAAACTCTCATTGTGCTAGTATTAATGCATTGTCGCCCTGAAATAAAAAATTTCTATTTTTGTGAGAGAACGGTTAAATTTTTCTACTTCAGAGAGAACCTTTTCATCATATTTTTGCATTCAAAACAAGGAAATTTGGTTTTTTATCGTTTTTTGTTTCTTTGCCTGACAGAAAAGAAAAGAAAGAGCGTCGTTACATTTCTTTTCTACCTTTTATTTGCATAAATCGTCACTATTTGCAACGTGTATTTTGTAGCAAACTATAAATTAACGATTTTATCAAACTTCAAGTAAGAAATTTTCAATTTCACAAGTAGCTGAGTCTATTGAAATTGTCCGTAGTTTCATTGATCATGATTGCAAAATCGTTTCTTAATCCTTATTTCGATGAAAAAGATCCGTAGTCATCAGTTTATTTCTTAATATTGAATAATCAATTCATACTAAATATTGAAATTCAGTTTTGTACAAAATACTCGTTTGACATACAGTTTAATTAAACCGATTATTTAAGGTAAATATGATTGTTCTATAGTTCCGTACGAAATTTGCATGGTACTCTCTAATTCATTTAAAAGAAGATCCCTATACATCCACTATCCATTTGACAATTCTGAGTAATTCAACGCTAAGTCGTAATTGGAGTTGAGACAAACTCAAAATGACATTCATTTGAATAGTTATTAGAAAGCTTAAGTTTATTATAAATTATTATTGATCTGTTTGCCGTATTGATCTATCTTCATCAATATTCCGAGTCATTAGGAACAGATATGAAAACGTCGAAATCTGTGAGATGTTGCTATTGAATAAAATTATAATTTTCTATTTCATTCATCGTTTGATTAGCTAACAGTGCGCATTTGCAATGAGAGTTGAGCGATTCATACACATCAACACCCTCACTCCATTACCGAAGTATCATGCCAACCGTTAGCAAAAAAAACAAATTTAATAAAGAATTAAAACAAAATGAAATAGTTGCGAATAAAACAAATTCGAGAAAACGTGAAGATGATTTGAGTGAAAACCAATTTGCATCTATTCATTTGTTAAGTCGTTTGTTTCACAGTTTTCTCTAAACTATCGTCAGTAACAAATACTTCTGATCTCTTGAGATAATGCTAATCGATGTGATATCAACTGCTATTTGTCTGCCCGTTTCACAAGATCTTATATTTAGTTTTTCTTGAAGAAAAGAGCAAGTATGATGAATGCTGACTAGAGACCTGCGGAGGACTCCGAAACCCGATTCCGACTCCGATGGAGTCGGAGTTGGAGTCGAAGTCAGTTACAAGTTCGACTCCGATATTTTTTTTCGATTTACCAAAACTTAATTTTTAACATTAGTAAATAGAAAAATAAAGCGTAATATCTGTCACATAGATTTGTATCACTTGTAGGACAGAAAGATGAGCGAATCACTTTCCAGTTATAACACTCGAATGATCAAGTGAGATGAAAACATAACAAAATTAATCAAAAAAGATATATTAATGTTATTCAAAGTACTACGACTATCTTCATCATTAGTTCTTCCTTGTTTAGACGAAGAACATCCAAGGCCGGTAAAATCAGTAATAGAAACGCTTTTTTAGGAGCAAAGCTGTGTATTTTTTACACATTCAAAAAGGTTTTTTTTTAGGGGAAAAGCGACTTTGAAGATGATAACATCCATAAACTGGTTGTTTTTAAAGAGAAACTTGAGATTTTTAGTGTAAAATGTGCGCATGTTAAGTCATTAAAGAGTCCTTTGGCTGCTGAGAACGTTTTATTGTTAAATGACATTGTTAAAAAATTTCGGAGTTTTTCGGAGTCGGAATCGGAGTCGTAAAAAGAAAGATTTCGGAATCGGAGTCGGAGTCGCGTTTTGGAGTGAAAAAAGTTGACTCCGCAGGTCTCTAATGCTGACCGAACTATTTGACGTTAGTCAGTTTTATTACGAATCATCAAAATCAAAATGATTTAGATATCGAAAATCTATCGATTAAGTTATTAAAAAATCAAATTAATTTAACTTCTCAAAGTATGAGAATGAACAACTTCTGTTGGCGTTGATATTCTACAGAAGATGTATACGCTGTTTATGATCTAAGTAAAAAGATATCTGGAAAGATAGAAAGCGTAATTTTTCAGTCAAAACTTTCGAACTTACCCTTCCCTTCTCATTATAGGTCACAACAATGATCATACTCCTATTACAGACTTTAGCAGTTGAACAAAATAGGCATTACACTACCTAAAGTTATTTTTTTTGCCAGATTAGATGAAATTATAAATTTAAAAAATAATGAAGATTACGAAGAGATTCGATCGAAAGAGGCTGCGCTAACAAGCTGTACTATTAAGATCGAATTGTTGTAAAGCTTTGCAATTTTAATATCTAACGCCATATACCTAATTCAACCTTTTTCGATTCCAAAGAAATGTAGACGAAGGATTTGAGCTAATCTTTTCGTAACGGATCAATATGAGTCTAGATATATTTTTCAATTCATTCTCATATAAATTCTCAAACGAAATCGTAATTTACGAAACTCGGATGCGTATACATTGTATTAAAATATGTCAGCTTTTTTGTTTCGCTCAGTACAAAACAAATCAATTTAAGTTTAATCGAATAAAAGTCGATATTACTCAAAAGAAATACATCGATTCACACTTCTACCAATTTTTCTTTTGATGAATTTTTTTTCTACTTTTGCCGATTAATCATTAAAAGGAGAATAACTTTTTACTAAATATTCATAAATTTCGATAGAAATTCTAAGTCCTCAATTATCCGGTATATATATTTCTATTGTCTCTTATTTCTGTGCTATTAAAAATCATTTCAGGACAATAGATAAGCATATAGAATAAAAGAAATCTACAAGGATATACTTGAATATAGAGTATTCCTTTAAGAATAAAACAAGTTGAAAAAAAATCTTTTGGTGACGATGACAAAGTTAGATTTGTAGTAATATATCGACAAATATGTTTTGCTTATTGTTAAGAATGAAACTGATTTAGAAAAAAAGTGTGAAAGAAACTATTCTTGACTCATTTATTTATTCATTCACTCTAAATCATGGGTAAAATAAAATGATCCTTCAACAAATCTCTTGCTATCAAAACGAACGAAATAAATATTTTACTCGAAAAATGTTGGCCTATTTCTTAATTTGTTGTCCGAAATAATTTATGAAATGTTTGAGACACATCAAAACGTGTGTAACTATGAAGCCATAAGCATAAGGATATATTAAAGATTAACAAGACTTTATTACTAAACAAAGAACCATATTTTGAGACAATGGAACGGAGTTCAGTTCGAATAATTTAGGCAGCTTAGGAAATAAATCAATTAAAACTGTTTGGTTTTAAATATTAAAATGAATTTATTTTAGATCGAGACATTCAAAATAATAAATAACATTATTCGGCGAATTTTTTCTTCGAAGAGAAATAGCAGCAGGAAGTATGTCTACAAAATGTTCAATTTGTCCTGTATCTGCAGAAAGACACTGCGAAGGATGTAAAAACAACTTTTGTCAGTTTGATTTCACAAAACATAAACAACAACTATTCGAAGAATTCAATAAAGAAATAGTGGAATTTCACTCTGAACTTCTTGATAAATTAAAGCAGTTAGAAAAGCCAAGATCTTTATCATTGAATGTTTTTGCCGAAATCGAAAAATGGGAAAAAGAAACAATCGACAAAGTAAGAATGGCAACAGAAAAAGTTCGCAGTGGACTTACCCAATTAATTGATAAACAACGAGAAGCAATGAGAAAACAACTTAAATCAATTAAAACAGAAATTGATTCTCATCAAAACGATGGAAAGTTTAACGAAATTGATATCCATCAACTTAAGCAAAAAATCGATAAAATACAAGAAACGCTTCGACAGTTTATTGAAAAAGATGCAAATAAAGCCGTTATTGTTGTTAATGATAAAATTGACTGGAATCGAAGAATTTACGTTCAAGAAGATCTAGAAAGCGGTAAGTATTTAGAATTGAAGTTGAACAAGTTGAACGATTTCCTTATATTCTTTCATTTCATTAAGTTATCGAAATTAATCCACTTACAGAACAGAGTTACTTTCAAAGACACATAGTTTTCAAGAAAATTGAATTTAAATTTCACTAAAGCGACATGGAATAATTTTCATTAAAGGAGAGCTTTTCTATCGAAAATCTAAGGCAGCATGATTTCTAAAACGGGCATCAAAGTTCATATTTATTCTTTAGTAAAGATTAATTTAAAATCCGATCTACGATAGATTTTCCGATGACATAAATTAGAAAATTGGAAATTTGAAAATTGAAGTAAATGCAACATTTTCTTTTTGTTATCATTGATCAAAATTTTCATTTTTGACAATGAAAAGAACATTCCAAATAAGAACTAGAATTGAATAGAAAAATAAAATGACATAAAAAGTTTCAAATAGAAAATGTCAAGTACTAAAAAAATCGCAATAGGGGTTAGATAAAACTTCACAAGTTTAATAGGAAAAGCTATTCACATGAAAATAACATTATGGTTAATTAGTAGAAAGCGCGACTCTCTCTGTGTATAGAGATCTTTCTGCGCAAAAATAGATTTAAGGGATTTTCTAACTGAGAGATTTGCACTAATGACAGAGAATTTCACGCTCTATCAATTTCTATAAACCAATTTTTTTCCATAGATCTTATTTTACCAAGAATGATCAATTTTATCTGTGTCTATCGTCGAGTCTACGAGCTTTGAAATCGAAGCTTTCATTTAATTATACGATGTATATCGCTCACATCTCAATGATAGATACAGATGTGCATTTTGTTCAGAAACAAATCAACTATATCCAACTAACTAAACAAGTAACATGGGTAGAAAATCAATTAGTGAATATAATTGAGCTCAAGCAGTAGTAATTTTTGAGATACTAAAGACAATCGCTGTTTACTACGCGATACTGATTTTCGAATTTGTTGACACTAGCTTTTATAACTTACAATTATCCTCATTTTGTTGCGTATTTCACCTGTTTTTGGTAAAATAAGATGTATGAAAAAAATTGGTTTATAGAAACTAATAGAACGTGACATTTTCTACTCTTAATGGAAATCTCTTGGCTATGAAATGAGAAATTCGCTTAAATTTTTGTCAATGACTGTACGTGAGTATTGATAGGAAATTTAATCTCGAAATTCTATGCATTCAGTTTTTTTTCGGTTGTTAAATAGCAAAATTCTAAATATCAATACCTAAAAAGAAGTTTGAAGCAGAAATTAACTTCGTAGTATTGACAGTTCTGGATCGAAAAATAGTTTGTTAAGTGACGAAATCATTCCACGAAATGAAGAGCAAGAATGAATCTTTCACCGTTTTTCCTATCTATGTTCAAAGATGGAAAAGTTCTGAATTTAGATGCTTCTCAGTATGCATTGGGAAAATCTTCCATTTCTATGAAATATCTTTCTCGATTTAATTGCGGACTTATGTTAAATACAGTCTGCTATATAATTCTTCCAAGGAACTTTCTATTATGATGGAAAATTTTGTGTGTCAATATTTGAATTATTTTTCCAGATTTACTAAAGATTCTGAAAGTATTGTGTCAGATAAAAATTATATAAGTATTTCATCGAAAATACGATGTACATGTACAAGAGATGAAGTTCAAAAGCAATGCTCGATTTTTTTTCTGACTTGTGCGATCCATCAAAAGTAAACGACCGATTGTTTTTAAAATAAATAAAAACTGTTCACAGTGAACTCAATCGTTTTATTTTTTTTAAAATAATCCGATAACTTATTTTACTAAGTTCAATTCTAGAGAAATTTTCGTTATGTTCCAACTGGTTTATTCGCTATAATTCTTTATTCGAAAACTCATTTTTTTCATGCATTATCTTTTTGTATGTTCCAATAAATTTGCATCACCATTTCCTCTCAACACGGTCGTGACAGTCCTGGTTGAAAGATCGAATATCAGTAGAATCTCATAAAACGAATTCGATCTTACAATGTGTCGAATATGATTTCGAAACATCATTGTGTTACAATTCACCAATGATGCCTTATATTGTATGATTGTTTCAGTTGTATCAGATAAGTTCATATTGCATTCTTGTTTAAAATGTGTTGCAAATTGTCCTATGAACCTAAGAGTAAAGACTTTTTAAACGGATGCATGGATATTCATTTGGCTTTTAAATTGAAAACATTGCGAAAGAAGTCAATTATATTTGATCGATTTGAGTTGTTCTTCAATGATATGTCAGTCAGACCATAATCTAAACAATCATTCAAAATTGACTATACGTCATGAGCTGAATTGTTAAGAATGTGCTTTATAACGAAATATTTTAAGCATTGAAATTCGAAGATCATTTTAATAAGAA